GAGCAGAGCCGGGCCAGAGTTGCGGAGGTGAGCGCCGAATGGAGAGGGAAGTTGAGTGCACTGGAGAGTAAGGTTGCCGATTTAGAGCGTATGGAGAGGGCCTGGTCAGACGCTTCGTCAAGGGCAGCGGTCTTAGAGGAGGCCGTTCGCGTGCATGAGTCCCAACAAAAATCGGAGAGGGCTACTGCGACCCTCAGGGAAGCGAGGCTCGAGGAGCGGATTAGTACGATTGATCAGGAGGCCTCGGCTCTGGCAGATCGGGTCGCTGCCTTAGAGGAGGAGAATCAGCGGCTGAGGGCCCAGGCTGGACCATCCCGCACTGCTGTTCCCCACCAGACTCACGAGCTCTGGGTCTACGCCGAATCCCAGCGAGACATTTTCAAGAACTTGTGGGAAGCGGGCACCGTGACTGAGGCGGCCTTCGAGGAGGCGCGTGAGAAGGCTCGCGAGGCTCGTGCCAACTGTGTATATGATGTGGCGACACCCGAAGCTGATGGGGGTGCAGGTGGTGATGATGATGAGCCTTATGGAGATGATGATGGTAATGGCGGTGTTGGCGTCGAGTGAAGAAAAAGTAGTGCTTTGTTGTTTTTTTTACTTCGTACGCCGGTGTGCGTTTGTTTGTTTCTTGTTGTTGCTTTCTTCCTGCCTCCCCCTTTTTCTCTTTTTTTTAGTTATCAGTTGACTGGCCTCGGCCGGATGTAAGTGGCAATGGCCCGTATTTGTGACCCTGAATAAAGAATTCTCTCTTTCGCCACTTGTCTTGTGTTTCATCTTTCAGTCGATTCATGATCTCATCACGAGGTGAGGGCTTGTCTGGCGAGTGCCGGTTCTCTTTTTGTAACGTAGGCCTCTGGCCTTGCGGGTTTCATTACGAATTAATTGAGAAGATAGCTCGTTCGAGTTCGAATGAGGTTGAGCCTGTTGATTTTTGATGGCGAAGGCCTTTAGCCTTGAGGGTATTATTTCGAACTTATCGAAATTATAGCCTATTTGAGTTCGAGCGAGGTCGAACCTGTCGATCTTCGAGGGCGAAGGTCTTTATCCTTAAGGGTGTTATTTCGAACTTATCGAAATATCAGCCCGTATGAGTTCGAACGAGGTCGAACATGTCGATCTTTGATGGCGAAGGCCCTTGTCCTTAAGGGTGTTATTTCGAACTTATCGAAATATTGACCCGTGTTGAGTTCGAGCGAGGTCGAAGCTTTGAATCTCTGATGGCGAAGGCCCTTGGCCTTAAGGGCGTTATTTCGAACTTATCGAAATATTGACCCGTGTTGAGTTCGAGCGAGGTCGAACCTTTGAATCTTTGATGGCGAAGGCCTTAGCCTTAAGGTGTTATTTCGAACTTATCGAAATAACAGCCCGTTTGAGTTCGAACGAGGTCGAACCTTTGAATCATTGATGGCGAAGGCCCTTGGCCTTAAGGGTGTTATTTCGAACTTATCGAAATAACAGCCTGTCTGAGTTCGAACGAAGTCGAACATGTCGATCTTTGACGGCGAAGGCCCTTAGCCTTAAGTCCCAGTTCGAACGAGGTCGAACTTATCGCAGCTTTAATGGTGAAGGCTTTAGCCTTAAGGGTGTTATTTCGAACTTATCGAACTAACAGCCTGTCTGAGTTCGAACGAGGTCGAACATGTCGATCTTTGATGGCGAAGGCCTTAGCCTTAAGGGTGTTATTTCGAACTTACCGAAGTAACAACCCGTCTGAGTTCGAACGAGGTCGAACATGTCGATCTTTGATGGAGAAGGCCCTTGGCCTTGAGGGTGTTATTTCGAACTTATCGAAATAACGACCCGTGTTGAATTCGAGTGAGGTCGAACATGCCGATCTTTGATGGCGAAGGCCTTTGGCCTTAAGGGTGTTATTTCGAACTTATCGAAACATCAGCCCGTCTGAGTCCGAACGAGGTCGAACTTGTCGATCTATGATGGCGAAGGCCTTAGCCTTAAGGGTATTATTTCGAACTTATCGAAATAGCATCCTGTCTGAGTTCGAACGAGGTCGAACCTTTGAATCTTTGATGGCGAAGGCCTTAGCCTTAAGGGTGTTATTTCGAACTTATCGAAATATCGACCCGTGTTGAGTTCGAGCGAGGTCGAACATGTCGATCTTTGATGGCGAAGGCCTTAGCCTTAAGGGTGTTACTTCGAATTCATCGAAATAGCAGCCCGTCTGAGTTCGAACGAGGTCGAACATGTCGATCTTTGATGGCGAAAGCCTTAGCCTTAAGGGTGTTATTTCGAACTTATTGAAATATCAGCCTGTCTGAGTTCGAACATGTCGATCTTTGATGGCGAAGACCTTAGCCTTAAGGGTGAAATAACAGCCCGTCTGAGTTCGAACGAGGTCGAACATGTCGATCTTTGATGGCGAAGGCCTTAGCCTTAAGGGTGTTATTTCGAACTTATCAAAATAACAGCCTGTCTGAGTTCGAACGAGGTCGAACATGTCGATCTTTGATGGCGAAGGCCCTTAGCCTTAAGTCCCAGTTCGAACGAGGTCGAACTTGTCGATCTTTGATGGCGAAGGCCCTTGGCCTTAAGGGCGTTATTTCGAACTTATCGAAATAACAGCCCGTCTCGAGTTCGAGCGAGGTCGAATATCTGAATCTTTGATGGCGAAGGCCCTTGGCCTTAAGGGTGTTATTTCGAACTTATCGAAATAACAGCCTGTCTGAGTTCGAACGAGGTCGAACATGTCGATCTTTGATGGCGAAGGCCCTTAGCCTTAAGTCCCAGTTCGAACGAGGTCGAACTTTGTCGATCTTTGATGGTGAAGGCCTTAGCCTTAAGGGTGTTATTTCGAACTTATCGAAATATCGACCCTTGTTGAGTTCGAGCGAGGTCGAACCTTTGAATCTTTGATGGCGAAGGCCTTAGCCTTAAGGGTGTTATTTCGAACTTATTGAAATATCGACCTGTGTTGAGTTCGAGCGAGGTCGAACCTTTGAATCTTTGATAGCGAAGGCCCTTGGCCTTAGTCCTAGTTTGGCAGGCATTGCTCGCATCGAAGGATTCCGCGCTGCAGACATCAGGTGCTGACATTTCGTTCGGACCTGCGTGGTACGCGTGTAATAGCTTCTCGCACGGCTGGCTGTTTATTTTGAAGACACCATCAACCGGGAGGGTTTCGGTTGTGCTAAGATGATCTTTGGTTCTTCGAACTGGGAATCGCTGCACCGGCGTCCGATTTGGTGAACTACGGGAGATGAGGATGAGATGTTCCTTCTCCCTGCCCGGTGGTTTTGATTGCGGCACCTTTTGCCTTGTTCGGAGTGTTTGGGGCTGGTAGGGTAGGAAATTCTAGTCCTCACTGGCTCGTTCGATTTTCCTTTTCTCCACGCGCTGCCTTCAAATCTGATGTGAGCTGGATACTCTTCTCGCGTTTCTTTGGCTTCGATCCGAAAAGAGAACTAGGCGTTTTCACTATGAAATCCCCACAGACGGCGCCAAATTGTTTGACTCAAAAGATGTTAAACTCTTTTTAAGCAAATCAATCAAAGAGATGAAGGGGTAAATCATAGTCAATCATAATTCGTATCGGATCTAAAGATAAAGAAATGACATTTAAATACAAAAATGGAGGAAGCATCGAAAACGTTTTATTTATGATAAAGCTTTGCCCTGCCGCTCCTTGGAGGGGAAAGGAATTACAATCATTGTGTTTCTCTCTCTTCCTCTCTAGATGGAACTTCCTTTTTCCTCTCTTGGAGTTCTCTTATCTCCCCTCTGGTTAATTGGGGTTTTTTGGAGAAGAAGTCGGTTCGGAGTTCCCCCTTCTAGGTTCCCTTCACTTCATATTTATAGTCGAAAGAAAACTGCTTTTTCCTTAGCCATAACTTCTTGTCAGAATTGTGGAAGCCTACTGGTCGGGGTGAGGGGCGTACCCTCGTCACTTGTGGAGAAGGTCGTGGTGATGGAGTCGAAATGGTTCCGTTGACTTCTTTCATACGGTGACTGAAATAGGGTCGTGGTTGCCTCGGTCGGGATAGTCAGATTTCTGACCAATACAATTCAGTGTTTGGTTAACGATCATAAAAAATACACATTCATTAGATTATTATGCAAATATCGTATGTATTGTTTTATGCCAAGACAGTATATAAATAAGAATATATTCATAATATTTCAAGTATTTATTCTCCTTGTAACAATTTTACATTATTATTCATCATAAATAATAGTTACCTCTAGTCTCTACTATACTATAAGTGGTAGTTGAAGCAAACGACTTTATGAGAAGTGAGCAGTGGAATTTAATGGCCAATGACGTAAACAAGTGTCAAAGGTGGCCATAATATACACCGCTGCAGAAGGTTTACAGATGGGAGAAGCGGGCGCTGCCGCTGAGTAACTTGTTGCCACGTGGTGATTACTGTAGAATTCTCTTTTCCCTGTCTCTAACAGCTAGCGAAAATAAATTAGACATTTTTCTCTTTTCTGACTTATTAGCATTCGATATTTGCTTTAAAATCTAACTAATGTTTAATGAGGAGTTATATAAAGGTAGAGTTCTTAAGAATAATAACTTAAGGTACTACCCTAACAATCAATAAATTGGGGGGGGGGGGGGATGATATTGGAGAGCAGAATTATGTGACATTACAAGATCTAATAAAATAATAAAAGCTCATACAAGCTTACTCAAACACTATCATTCTATGAATTCTTTAAAATATATTTTAAATGAAACTTAAAGAATATTGTAGAGTAGATATCAAACGGGACAATAAGTAAAGACCAAAAGTAGTTTGTAACCAATAACCTTGCAGTTAGTATATATTTACCATGCAATTGGTACGAGGAAAATCTAATTACTGCCGGGAAATTAATTACAAGAAAACTAATTTTACGAGCATCCACTTTGTCAATTTCCTTTCTTTAGACACCGCGTCTTTATTTTGTCTCCATATTCTCCAACAAGTTGAAACCATTACTCCACCACTTTAATCTTCATATATATATATATATAGAGAGAGAAGATAGTTCATAGTTGTAAAGTGTATAACCCAACTGGCTCCAAAGCTTTGTTCTTTCTACTCTCCAAGGTAATCTTCCGGACACATAAAAGCACACAATATTAATGTTTATCACTGAATGCAAACGTACGCATGAATGAATGAGTGACAGTTCATGTTTATTAGTATCACTGCTTTGCTAACACTTGCTGCTAAAATGATGTTTGGTTAATCTGTATCTCTTCTTGCTTGAATTTTCTCAATGGTTTTGTATAAACAGTGAGGCCAGAATCCTTATCATGTTATTATTGATAGGAGATTCAGAACCCCTAGGGATTGTTCATATTGTGTTCCTTGATATTTCTGTCAGTCTTAGATTATTCGTATATGGTTACTATTACCTTTGATTTTTTTTTTTTTCAACAGCCAATATATCAGGTTCATTTGGACTGTAAGCTTAATGCTTAAAAAATAATTGATGGAAATTAACTCAAACAGAAACCACAATTTATATACTCCTAGCTTCAGCACAAAATGATGGCTAATTTAATCAAATTAGAAGATTAAAGGTTACTTGTTTTGCATAATTTACATTAATTTCACAAACTTCATTTTCTAAGTACTGCTATAACAGAACTTGATTGCATAGATATCTCCTAGTTCCTGCTATCTTGAATTCTGACTGCTTAGGAGAACAATAATAAAGGAAGGTCAGAGATATTAATTGGTAGTTTTGTAATATAGATTCTTACGTGCATGGTCTTGGCTTGTAATTACAGAGAGAACGTGACCTCTGCTGAGTTTTAAGAAGAATGATGTTTGGGAAAGAATTTAAGGATCAAATGGTGCCTGAGTGGATTGAAGCTTATATGGACTATGTTGGGCTCAAATGCCTCTTGAAACAGATCATTCGCCTCAATCTAAGTATTCAACCTCACCACAATACTCAGAGGAAAGTTGATATTGAGAATCAAGAAAGCGCAAGCCAACACAAACAATATTCCACAAATAGAAAGTTCTGTATACCAGCAGAACTAAGAGAAGATGAGAAATCGTTTTTGCAAAAACTGGATAATGAGCTTGGAAAGGTCAATAGCTTTTACAAAGACAAAGTGGAACAGGCAAAGGGAGAAGCAGCTGCATTGGCCGAACAAATGGATGCTTTGGTTGCTCTCCGTAAGAAGGTGAAACAATCAGATACTGCAGCATCCTCAAAGGTGACTTCTCCAAGCAGGGCTTCAAGTGTAGGTAGGTCCGCCACTATCATTTTATCGGTCGTTTTACGCCTTCATGATCATGAATTATGGTGAATACAAACAGAAACGAGAGCCTTATTAGGAATTGTACCATAATCTTATTGAACAAATGAATAGTTCTTGATTCATATATTATTAATCAGACATGATATGATAAGCAGGATACATTAACATCATATGTTCAATTGCTATGTACCACTTGTTTTGATCCATATTGCAGCAGAATCCTAGAAGATGTACAAAATTTATGTACCTTAGTTATAGCCTTCTTTTTTTATACACCTTTTGCAATTGTTTGTACCCCATATTGCAGTATCTTGACATAGCTTAGCCTCCACTGAATGGTTTTTAGAATCTCATAATTTCATAATTCACTGAGACGGCGCAGAATGTGGCGCAGGATGTTTCCAAGATCGACACAGAATGTTTCTAAAAGTACTTTTGGCGACAACATTCAGCTATGGCAACATAAAATATTGTTGACAAAAGCCTTCCTTCTTGTAGTGTACGTGAAACAGTTGTGGACATTCTAACTGTATGCTTCTGTTTCATATAACTAAATTTGCGCTCATTAGATGTTTAAATGCAGAGAAAGGCCAACAGAAAGAAACGGACATGCCTTGTGAGAACAACATAAAACCAGCTTCTTCGAGCAATAATGAAGAGCCTTCATTAAAAGAACATGGACGAACTCCCTCAGACGTTCTTGAATGTGTCAAAATTCAAAATACATCTGATGGTCCAAAATCGTCGGTAGAAAAACTGTTACTTGGTACCACAGAGAAAGAGTGTAGCTTCAGTCAAGAGGAACTAAAGGAGGTTCAAGAAAAGTTGAAAAAGGCCTTTGTTGAGTTCTATCAGAAACTTCGCAGCCTAAATCAGTACAGGTTCTAAATCTAAGATACATTTTGGATTCTCTTTCTGCATTTATTCTGACTCTTTTTTCAATTGATGAAACAGTTTTATAAATCTCTCGGCATTTTCTAAGATCCTGAAAAATATGAAAAGGTCAGACACTCATCAGGTGCATATTTAGCTTTCTGAATAAAACTTCAATCCCGGAGTAGGTTCAGAAAGTTGCATTCTGTGGTCAATCATGGTAATAATAGTAGTATTATTTTAGTTACCACTAAATGACCATAAATTGCATCACTGGTTGACTGCAGATTACTTCCAGAAAAGCAATGAGATCTTACATGAATGTCGTTGATAACTCCTATATTGGAAGTTCTGATGAGGTCTGTTTCATCACTAAATCAAGATATTTGGATTTATTTTCCATATAGCTTTAGGTAAAACAAGTCTAGTTATATGCACCAATAAAGATTCACTTAGTTTATTTTTTCATGTTCTAGGTTACTCGTCTTCTGAACAAGGTGGAAGCAACATTTGTCAAGCACTTTTCCAATTTTAAGCAGGGGGATGGCATCAAATTATTAAGGCCAAAAAGGAAAAGAGAGAACCACCGCGTACGATTTCTTTCAGGTTGAGAACTTCTCCTTTTTTTTTCAATGTATGTTTTTCTGCATTCAGGTTCTATTATAACCTTTGTGCTCATGGTGTAGGATTCTTCTTTGGATTCTCAATTGCTCTAATTATCGCGGTTGCTTTAGTCATGCAAACAAGAAAGTTACTGGACAAGAAGGAGGCCACCTTATACTTGGATAGCATTTTTCCACTTTACAAGTTAAGAAAAAATTCAGATGTTAAAATGAAAATTCATCTACTTATGACCTTCTCAGTTTTCTCTGACATATATATACACCTTATGTTTTGTTTGCAGTTTCTACGGTTACATTATCTTACATATGCTTCTTGTTGCTGCAAATATATACTTGTGGAGGCGCTATAGAATCAACTACTCGTTTATACTTGGATTCCAGCCAGGAACCGAATTAGACCACAGAGAAGTTTTCGTTTTAGCCTCTGGTCTTACAGTTGTTGTACTCACTACTTTTCTGGTACACCTGCATATCAGGATGGACTCGACAATCCAAGATCACGAGACATATGTTGAACTCCTTCCTTTGGGCTTACTCATTGTGAGATTTTAGATATAAGTTAAATGCCAGTTGAGCACAATCATATAAGTACATTTTATCCAATCACCATTCTCTTATTCAAATGCAGGGTTTAGTTCTCATATGTCTGTGTCCTTTTAACATCATCTATCGTTCAAGCCGTTTCTTCCTTATTCGAAGTCTGTTCCGTTGTATTTGTGCTCCTTTCTACAAGGTGATTGATTCTACCAGGCTTGAATTCTATATATGTTGGACAACATCTTATGTCGATATTCTTAATCTGCAGGTCAAAATGGTTGATTTTTTCTTGGCAGATCAGCTAACAAGCCAGGTTTCTTACTTAATTGGGCCATCAATAGGTGATATGGATCTTGTTTTTCTTTATTTTTGGATTTCTGACCTTTTCTCTACATCTGCTTGACCTCAGACACAAGCCATAAGAAGTTTTGTATACTACATTTGTTATTATGGTTGGGGAAAAGCATTGTCGCCAGGACGAAAAATGTGCCACGTTAGTGATGTCTACGTTATCTTCTATTACATTTCAGCTGCCATACCTTTTTGGATTCGCTTCCTCCAGGTATAATTAACATTTCGCTATAACTAACCTCTACATTAGCCTATATATCTGCATATGTACTCAATGGACCAAATTAATGTACAGTGTATGCGACGATTAATAGAAGAGAAAGACATGAAGCATGGATTCAACGGTTTCACCTATTTCTCAATGCTTCTGTCAGTTGTCTTTCAGTCAACATTCAGACTACGGAAAAAAATGACTTGGAAAGTATGGGCTTTGGCTAGCTCGGTTGTTGCAGCTCTGGCAAACATATGTTGGGATATCAGGATGGACTGGGGTCTTCTTCAAAGAAATTCAAGAAATTTTCTTCTGAGAGACAAGCTCTTACTTCCACATAGAAGTGCATATTATATAGCTATGGTAAAGTTTCTATGTTGATGAAACAAAAATCCCCCGTCTCATTTTTTATCATCTAATATTTTTCTTGCACGTTGGACGGTAGATTCTTGAAGTTCTCCTCAGATTTGTATGGCTGCAACTAGTATTGAGTTTCGACATGCGCCCACTACGTGGAAAAGCCATAACAAGCACATTTGCCTGCTTGGAGATTCTTCGTCGTAGCATTTGGAACGTCTTTAGGTAATATTATTGTCCCTGAGCTGATATTAGGAGTTCAATGGCATTTGTGTTCTCTCTAATAGAGGGAAGAAAATGGATATGTTTTGAAGTTATGATTTCTGTCTCAGATTGGAGAATGAGCACCTAAACAATGTTGGTGAGTACCGAGCATTCAAGTCACTCCCACTGCCCTTTATTACATATGACGAGAAGGTTGACAAGCATGAGTAGAATGACTCTTTAAGTCTTCTTAACATATGTTCTGTTTCATCAAAAGATGAATGTGTAATAGATCACCGTACCCTTTTCTATTAGATAGGGTGGCAATGCATACATTTTCAAGTACTGTTATGTGCACGTTAACTGGATCCTGCAATATATTTAGTACCACAACACTCATCTCCTTCAGAAATGGAGAGATATATAATTTGTTGCTTCATGTTTTCATCTTTCTCCTAAGCAAAGCACATCTTGTTTGCTCATATTATGGTGCATGCATGTATTCTTGGACTATTCTTTGTGGTCCAAACATATCAAAACTAGGTATGAGTAAGTATATATAATAGTATCTGTTGGATACTAATTTGGTTTTGGATTGCGGGTTGCCCATGTGGACTGACCCGACCTATTTAAAGGGATAAGTTGGAGAAGTTACCATGAAGTTAGAGACAGCGGGATTATTTATTAAAGAAGAAAAACATTGGTTGATTAGAGATAATCGGTCGGACCTCTTCTTCCAAAGAAAAGAAAGAATGCTCTTTCTTATCTATTAGAAAAATACTGCTCTCTGATTTTGTAATGATCTAAGCTGTAGCAGGATAAGAGTATTGAGATGTTGTCAACTGGGTTCGATCTCAAGCTGATGCCACAAGTAGGAGTAACTAACTTTCAAAATTAACGGCCGCGATTATATTTCCGTTAATGAGCAGCGAGGGACGAGATTAAGCCACGCCAGCGCGTGGTTTGTTATTAATCAGACGAAGAGAGAGAGAGAGAGAGAGAGAATGCATAACGGATTTCAGGTTCACTTCTTTCCGCTCTCTCCTTCTCTCTCTCTCTCTCTCTCTCTCTCTCTCTCTCAGATTCTAACTCCCTTTTCTTATTCTCTAGATTCTGCAGATCTTCCAGCTATGAGGTCAAGTATACATTTAGTTAGTTTAGCTTAAATTTTCTTCCTTAGATTTGTAATTTGGTATCCATTTCCATTTATAAAAAATTCAGAAAATTGTCCCAATTGTTTGCAATTGCAGTTTTATTTTGAATTTAGCTCAAATCCTTGGTAGATCCTGAATTTGGTATCAGAGCCTCGATTCAACGACTTTGTTGTGAGAATGGCTGAAGGAACTCGTCTCAAACTCATGGATGAAAAACTCGTGAAACATGATGAAATTTCTGAGCAGGTACTCACCAGCAGGAATTTCGTGACACACAAACAGGGATTCAAGGTACCGTGGAACTGATTCTCGTTGACCACTCTAGAGAGGCTTCCTAATAGAGTTCAAGGTGATAATCGTCAAGGCGATGGGTAGCTATCCTGTAAGTGCAGGAGATAGAGGCTAAACAGAAATCAGATTGTTCCAGTTCCCCCTCCTAAATGGGAATTACCCGGCTTCGAAGGACATGAACCCAAGGTATGGATTCGAAAATGTGAAAGATATTTCAATTTATATCGGACTCCAAACAATCATAAGGTAGAGGCAACTGCACTTTACTTAAATGGGTTAGATAAAACTTGGTACCACTCTCTCACTTTAAGTGAAGGAGAGATCAGTTGGACTCAGTTTAAGGAAGAATTGATCTGTAGGTTTGGGGATACAGTGATGGACGACATAGTGGAGGAATTCAATAAGCTAAGTCAGGTTGGTACAATAGATGAGTTTCTGGGCAAGTTTGAGGATATGAAAGCTCAGATGTTAATTAGGAACCCTCATCTTGATGAATCTCATTTTATCTCTAGCTTCATAGGAGCTCTGAAGGAAGAGATTCGATTTGGAGTAAAGTTGTTCAAGCCCACTACACTGAAGTTTGCTATTGAACAACCTAGGTTTCAAGAGATGGCTATAGAAGCTGCACAAAAGAAGAACAAGGTTAGTATTAGACCACCAGCTGTGGGGAGTAGTAGCACCAGTGTCAAAACTGCAGTGAATCCTTCAGTTAAGCCTAATACATTCAGGCTGAGCGCTGAAGTTTATGAGTATAGAAGGAACAATCATCTGTGCTTTAGGTGTGAGGAAAAGTACACACCAGGGCATCAGTGCAAGAAGAAACAGTTGAATTGCTTGATTGGAGAGGTGGAAGCTGCCCTAGAATGTCCTAATGATAATGAGGACCCCTCCCTTGCAGACTTAGTAATTGAAGGGGGTATAGAGCAAGTTGTGCAAGAAGCTGTGTGTTTGAGTGCATTATCAGGGAATAACCAAGGAGTTAACTTTATCTTGGTCAAGGGTTCCGTAAAAAATACTAACCTAGCATTGTTGGTTGATTCTGGCAGTACTCATAGTTTCATAGATGAGAACATTGTAAAGGAGACTGGTCATTAGGCTACTTATTGTCCACCAGCGAGAGTGACAGTTGCTGATATGTCATGTGTACCTCTCATTGTAAAGGTTTTGTATGGAAAATGCAGGGCAGACCTTTTAAGGAAGACCTACTCATCATTCAATTGGGGGGGGGGGGGGTGTGACATTGTGCTGGGAAATGATTGGATGAAGACACACAATCCTACTATGTTTGACCATGAGAAGAATTGTGTTACCATTGGGAGAAAGGGAAATAAGCTGGTACTACATGGAATTCTAGAAGAAGGTAAGCTAAATATGATTTCTAGTAAGACTATGAGCAAGGTGCTTAAGAAAGGGCAAGCACTCTTAGCTCATTTGTTCATGATGAACTCAGTGGTAGCCACAGGACAGGACCCAGTGGAAGAAGCTATACAGACAGTGCTAGAGCAGTATGAGGATGTGTTTGCTGAACCTAAGTCACTACCTCCTACTAGAGCATTGGACCACTCAATTCCTCTCAATCCAGGTGCCATGCCTGTGACTTTGAAGCCCTACAGGTACAACTATTATCAGAAGAATGAACTAGAGAAGCAAGTCGAGGAAATCCTGACAAATGGCATCATTCAGCAGAGCCAATCTCCCTTTTCTTCCCCAACTCTTCTTGTTAAGAAGAAGGATAGGACATGGAGGTTTTGTGTCGACTATAAGGGACTGAATGATATCACTATAAAGGATAAATATCCAATTCCCATTGTGGATGATTTATTGGATGAGCTTCATGGTTTTGTGATATTTTCTAAAGTGGATTTGAGAGCTGGCTATCACCAGATCAGAATGAGGGAAGAGGATATACTTAAGACTGCTTTCAGAACACATATGGGCCACTATGAGATCAAGGTTATGCCGTTTGGATTGACCAATGCTCCTGCAACCTTCCAAGCACTGATGAACCAGGTTTTTCAATCATACTTAAGGATATTTGTCTTAGTTTTTTTTTGATGACGTACTCATATATAGTGAATCACTAGAAAGGCATGTTGAACACTTAGCTGCTGTGTTTGCTGTTCTGAGAAACCATTCCCTCTTTGCAGAAAAATCCATGTGTTCATTTGGACAGGCTCAAGTTGAGTATTTAGGCCATGTGATCACTAAGGAGGGTGTTTCCACTGATCCAAGCCAAGATACAAGCCATGGTTGAATGGCCCAGGCCTAGTTCAGTTAAGTCTGTCAGAGGCTTTTTGGGTCTAACAGATTACTACAGGAAGTATATGGTGCCATCTGCAGGCCATTTACTGATCTTCTCAAGAAGGATTCATTCAAATGGAATGATGAGGCTGAACTATCTTTCTCAGCACTCAAGTCTGCTATGACTTCCACCGCAGTGCTGATATTACCTGGTTACTCTAAGGAGTTCACAGTGGAAACATATGCTAGCCATAGTGGAATTGGGGTTGTACTAATGCACGAGGGTAGGCCAGTGGCCCATTTCAGTAAGGTCTTAGCCCCAAGGCATACGGACAAGTCCATTTATGAGAAAGAGTACATAGCTCTACTAAATGCAGTCGATAAATGGAGACACTATCTGCAGTTCAAACACTTTGCGATCAGGACTGACCATCATAGCCTGAAGTACCTACTAGAGCAAGGGTCACCACTGCTGTCCAACAGAAAGGGTTGACAAAACTACTGGGGCTCGACTATGAAATACAATATAAAAAGGGGCCTAAGAATAGGGTGTCAGATGCTTTATCTAGACAGTATGAGAATTGTGTCACTAATCTACCTCAGGAGACTGCACAACTAATGGCTATCAGTACTTCAGTTCCCTCATGGATGCAAGAAATAGCTTCAAGTTATGAAAGGGACCCTCTGGCTACAGATCTAATTGCTCAGCTGACAGTTGACTTGCAAGGTCCCATTCTGTTGGCATTATTCATCTGGGGTGCTCAGGAAAAGGGGGAAGATTTATGTTGGGAGTAATGGCAATCTAAGACAACAACAGATTGCTACTTTTCATGATTCACCTATGGGTGATCATTTTGGACAATTGGGGACACTCAAAAGGCTATCACAACTGTTCTATTGGGCTGGGATGAAGCAAATGGTTATTAACTTTGTGGCTAGTTGTGATGTGTGTGTCAGGAGTAAGGATGACAATGTAGCTTATCCAGGTCTATTGCAGCCCCTTCATATTCCTAACCAAGCATGGAGTCACATTAGTATGGATTTCATTGAAGGGTTGCCTAAATCAAGAAACAAGGATGTGATACTAGTAGGGGTGGACAGAATGACAAAGTATGCCCATTTGATAGCTCTATATCACCCTTATACTGCTGTAGCAGTAGCTGACTTGTTCTGGAAAAGAGTGCATAGCCTTCATGGCACACCTGAGTCCATTTTTACTGACAGAGACATGGTCTTCTTAAGTAATTTTTGGCATGCACTATTCAAGTTGCTAGGCACTATGTTGCATTATACTACAGCATACCATCCCCAAAGTGATGGCCAAACTGAGAGGGTGAACAAATGTTTGGAAAACTAACTAAGATGCATGACTGCTAGCAGGCCTACTAATTGGAAACAATGGCTAAATGCTGCAGAATGGTGGTACAACACCAACTTCCACACCAGCCTGAAGTGCACTCCCTTTGAAGCTTTATATGGATATTCTCCACCTCACTTGTCCATTGGCCCACTCATTGAAACCATAGTTCCAGCTGCTGAGGATGCTTTCATGAGAAGACAACAAATGCAACAATTGCTTAAAGACAACTTAAGTAAGGCACATAAAAGGATGAAGTATTACGCTGACAAAAAGACGACTGAAAGGGAATTCCAAGTTGGTGACATAGATTACTTAAAACTCCAGCCATATAGGCAGACTTCTATTGCTCTAAGGAAGAATCTGAAGCTCAGCTCGAAATA